CACACACACACACACACACACACACACCCCACACACACTTTCTTCTCTTGACCAATAGCCATAGGAAAATCCTTTTACTTCTAGGCCCCAGAGTGGAGATTCTTGCAGAAGTGCCACTGGCACACGCAGCAGGGGGTGCGCAGTGGGAGCAGAGGGTGGGCTCTGGCCTGGCAACCATCCCAGCCAAACAGCTCCTGGCCCAGCCCAGGCCTAGTCAGGCCAGGCCAGGGGAGGAGACAGCAGGGGCATGGGCTGCTCCCAGCCAGGCAGAGGGCCAGCTTCTCAGCCTGCAGACAGGAGCCCCTCTGTCCTTATAGGACGAGCTGACCTTTAACTGGCCCAAAGGTCCCGCTGGCTCCATCACCCTGCCTGGGGGAGAGGATCAGAGGGGAGAGGAGGAAGAACCGGGAGGAGAAGGTCCAGAGCTTTCCTGTGCCAGCCTCGCTCTCCCCTCCCAGCCTCCTGCTGTCCCCAGCTCCTCCTGGTCTGACCGTCTGCTCTCCTTCCTTCCCTCCAGCCCCGTCTTTCCCACATCCACTCCTTCTGGCCCTTAATTATTTTACCTTTTATTTGCCTGGCACTTTATAGTTCACTAAATGTTTCTACATTTATCACTGCATTGAATCTGCACCAGAGAGAGGCGGGAGGCATTAAAAATTCCTACAAATTGCCAAATGTTCTTGTTAAAAATGCAAACGTCCCCAGAATGATGAACAATGAGGCTGGCAGCCAGGGCACCAGAGAGCTAATTATCTCATCCAACAAACGGGACAGGGTACAGGGGGAAGAGGAGAGCAGCCTTGGGGTGGGAGGGAGACTCTCCGGCAATCAGAGGGTGCTGGGCTACTGGGGGAGGAGAAGGTGCCTCAGGAAGCGGGCAGGGAGGCGGCCCACTGGCCAGGCAACCCTCATCCAGGCCAGCAGGGGACCAGGCCAGACGGCTTCAGCAGGCAGGAGGAGCCCAGTGGCTGGTGCTGGCCTCCTAGAAACAGCACAGCCAGGGTCACAGGATAAATTGAGAGGTTCTGCCTTTCAGGGAGTCTCAGTTACCCCAGCTGAAAACAGATGTGGGGGGCCAGACTGCTCCAAGCTCCAACATTCTAAGGTCCTGCAACCAAATCAGAAAAACAAGCCTGGGGCCAAACCCCAGACTGGGTGTCCGAGGAGCTCCTGGGCTTTGAGCAAGCTCATGTTGGAGGCTCCACCCCATCCATCGTACATATTCAAATAAACCACATAGACAAACTGGGTTGGAACCCTCAGGGGCTGACCTGAGTTGCAGCTGACCATTTGACATAATGTTAGGTTTTGTAGCTAAATTAAACACTCATTAATTTCAACTCTGCAGCTTTCTTTTCACGTTTCGGAGCACACTGGTTCATTTCCAGATCTCAAACATTTTCATTGGCACCTGATGAAAGCTCACAGGCTCTCGATGCTGCATCTGTGTGCCCAGAGCTCTGAGCAGGGATTCAGCAACTGCCCTGAAGAAACCCAACAGTGGGTTTAAAAGAATTGTAGCAAACACTGTGTTGCATATGGGGACAGTGCAAGCTTCAGTTGCGGCCACTGCCTCCAAGGAGCCTCTGAGAGAACCGTGGCCACATGAGCCAAGGCTGCACAGTATGGAGAAGAGCTGGAAGCCACGGGTCACCACCTACCCTCCATGGCATCATCACGATGTCCACTGAAGTTGTCGTAGGAGTCCCAGCGGATGAGGGGGTCGGAGGTATTGTAGTCCACAGACACGCTGGGCCCGTTCTCCAGGTGCTCCATGCCTGAGTGGATGGGAGAGGCAGGGGCAGACGGGGAGACAGTGGGAAGCGAGGAAAAGAGATCAGCAGCTGGAAAAACAGAGATCCCACAAGCTCCCCCCAGGATGCTCTCTGAGGGACTTCTCATGTTCTTGAGCATGGTGGGGCAGGACTGGTGGCTTAAATTGGATGGAGAACCCAGGAGTCTGGTTTCTTGCATTCCTGAACAGGCTCACAGCAGGTCACGGGGGTAAATCAGGACGGGGCACTGATGAATGAAGACCCCTCCCTGGCTGGGTGTGGCCTCTTTCTCTTCTGTTTCCCTGAGGTCCCTACAGGAGGACCACAAGACCAAGAAGTTTGTCCTGGAGTCAGGAGAAGAGGTATGGGACATGGCTAGGACACCCTAGGGTCAGGGACAACAGGAAAATAGCTGTGACATTGGCGGACACAGAGCCTCTGAAAGGTCATCCTAGGCATGCCCTGGGGCCCCACTTAAAAAGCTCTCCATTCTAGCCAGACACCTGCAGAGGGAGGCTGGGTCTCCTCCCCATACCACAGAGTCCCCTCAGAGGTGGCACAGCTGTAAGCCCAGCCTTCCAGTGTCAGCCCCTTCCCAGCCTGGCAGTTCTCCCCTTAGCCTACCCAGAGTTCCACTGCCCATAACCCAATTTCATCTCCTTTCCGTTCTCAAATAAAATGAAGAACAAATGGTCTCCATATTTAGATTCTAGAGGATTACGGGCTATTATTAAACTGTCCTTCAGGTTGAGTCACCTCAGTTCTCATAAATACTCATCATCCATCCAGCACCTTTGAGTGTGTCCCCACCTCCAGCGACTCCCCCCATCCCAAAGGCCCATGATCTCTGAATATAACAAGATGGTGAGCTAATGGAATCAGAACAGTTTATCCTAGCCAGCGCCTCTCTGTCTGCTTTTTTATTTTTACTACCCAGAGATCAAGTCACTAGCCCATGTTTAGCAGGGGGGTCCACTCTGATAGCCAGATCCTTTTCTGTTGGCTTGCCCCTCTGTCACAGGTAACTTGATGATTGTAGTGAGACCACTGGGACAGTGATGGGGCAAGACAGGGACACGTCAGGACAGAGGGAAAGGGTCTGAGAATGAAATCTAACTTGTCTTATACCTTGAATTTTCTCTGGACCATAAGAAAATATGAACTCCACTTTGCCATATTCTGGAAATCGGTCATCTGAAAAAGAGAACAAAAAACAAAAGTGGGCAATGAATTCCTAAAAAAGGACTCCCTAAAGAGTTTCCTTGTAAATCACAAGTTTCAGCCTAGACAACTTAGTGACTTGAGACTGTGTCTCAAAAATGAAAAAACAATTTAAAGCACTGGGGGTGTAACTCAGTGTGAAGGCCCCAGGTTCAAGCACCAGTACTACAAAAAAAAAAAAAAAAATCTTGTAGAAAGAAAATTAAGGCATATGTTAGCCACACATTATAAGGTTAATAATATAATAATAATACATATCTGTATTTACTTATATGCACGAAATTATACCCATACAATGAAATTACATCTGCCCACTTTGCACCACTCCTACTTGCCTGAGGTAATCATTTCTAACCATTCCAGTTCTTGTTCTACAAGTGATTTATCTCTAAAACTCCAAATAATGATCTCTAGTTTCATGCCACAATTTATAGATATCAATTCTCCATCATCCCCATTGATCACCACTATGAAGTTGAATAATTTGGCTCACTTACACAATTCCATCTTTCATCTGGTTAAATTACTAATTCTACCTATTCTGATTGCCTTTGGAACTGTAAATTCTATAGTTCAGCCTCTGTGTCTCCTGACTCCCACCATGGAGAAGGAGGGAACTGGGAATTCCTTTCCCTCTGTCTTCCCTGTGCTCCTGTTTACTTTGTGAGACATGCCTTTACTTTCCCTTTTCAAGACTGGTGACAGTAATTGTCTGTTCTGCAATTACAAGGGCATCTTCTGTTGAGCCCTATAGGTATCCACTACACTGAGGGAACTGTCCCTCCTCCCAGCCCCTGTCTGCCCACTACCTGAGCCTTGTTTGGACATGGATTACCGCTCACTGCTTGTAGGAAGAGGTTAGAGCAAGGATGGTGTCTGCTCTGTGGGACACCCATCACGCCTGTCTAAGTGTCCCTCACTGTGGGTTTAAATGTGATACAGATAAGACCTCAAGTGGATAGCAGAAAAGAATGAAAGGAAGACACCAAACCTTCCCTAATCACCTCTCCTTCCCTCCCTGTAGCAACCCCACTATTGCTGCTCTACCCCAAGGGATAATCCCTCCCTGGTGGGGCTGTCTCCCACAAGACCTTTGAGCTCCACCAACAGAGATCATATCAGTGTTTACTCTGATTCTTCAGCACTTAGGACCTAACCTCAAACAAAATGGATGCTCAGTGAATGTTGAAAAAATGATTGCCAATAGATTCAGGGAACAAATTAGGAGGACAAGATGAAGGAGATACAGGGCAAGTGCTAAAAGAAGGATGTGAAACACAAAGCAGCCCAGGGGCCACAGAAGGATTTCTCTCCACTTCTACAACCTGAATTCCAAGAATACTCCAACCTCAACTCAGTCCCAGTTGTCTCTCAATGTCCTCCCACTGTCACCAAGAGAACCCTGAGACTTGACAGACTGTGTGGCTCAGAAGAAAATTGTTCTCACAGGCACCATATCCCCTGGAACTGGACTCTCTTCCCACCGCAGGGGCCCCACACATGCAGCCCACCTTTGAAGGCCTCATCAAGGTCCTCCTTCCCAAAGACAACTCCCAAGTCATGGATGGCACAAGTGTGGAACTGCACACGGAAGATGACATCTCGGGAGGGGCTCCGGAACTTCTTGTGGTAGCACTTGAGCTGGGGGAGAAGAGGCAGAGGTAAGAGGTCAGGACCCACGGCTCCTCCTGACTGAGCTCCAAGGCTCACCCGAGACCCATAAGGGAAAGTTCACCCATGGGATCTCAGAGCTCTCTGGGGAAACTTCTAGAACAGCAGAGGGGTGGAGACCAGTCTGTACCTATAAACACAAAACTGTCCTCCCAACAAGTTCCTGCAAATATGTCAGGATGCATCAGGGAAGACTGGAGATAGTAGGGTTCTTGTCACTAGCAAGGATCCAGGAAGTAACAGCCCACCCCAAGTGCAATTTCCCTGGAGATGCCCTAGAACAAAAGATGAGCCCAGGAAAGGGATATGAACTCCAAGGTAGGGCAGTAGACTAGGACTGTTAGAGTCTAGAAGATTTTTACAGGAGCCCTGGGAGCCCACAATTCCAAGCATGGCAGCCACCAGAGGTTGCTCTTAGGTCCCAAGGGCAGGAGGGGAACAGAAAGAGAGGAGAAGGGTGGGGCTGGAGGTGGAGGACACACTCACCAAGATGTCCCCTTTCAAGAGCAGTCCTGGCTCGATGGTAATGCAGATGCTGGTCTGACTGTCTCCTGGGATGTTGCTAAGGGAGACAGGGGCAGAGAAAAGGGGCTGCTGGGGGCAGGGATTGCATGCTCCTCCTGCTGCCCCTAGTGCAGATCTGCTGGGAACCTCATTGATTTAATCCCTCTTGAGAAAAAGAGGTCAGGCAACCCCAGCACTACCTCCCTGGTCCTCAGCCCTGGGCCTCGGGCATCCCTGGCCTCACATCCCCATGAGATACTTACTAGATACCAGACGTGTAAACAGGTTGCATGGCCTGGTAGATACGGAGAAAAGGCCGACACCCTGTCAGAGAGGAGTGAGTGTTAGCTAAGACACCAGAAATAGTGGTCAGCGGAGGAAAAGGGAAGGAAGAAAGAAATGAGGCGAGGAGACACATGGAAGGAAAACAGGAGTAGCAAAAGAGGAAGCCAAGAGGGGTAAACATACTAACTTTTCATTTGTAAGGTATTTTAAGTTGACAGAAACACATGCAGCAGCAGCATCCAGCAGGCACAGTAATTATCAAACCATTTTGCAGAGGAAGAGACCAGAGCTCAAAAAGCTCAGGAGATGTGGCTGAGATTCCAGTGCAGCTCACGAGTCTTCTCTCAAGCGAAGGAGATGGAAGGTGGGAGAAAGTGGAGGTGGAGGGAGGCCTGAGGGAGGGCTGGAGAGGTACCTCCTTTAGACTCAAAGTTGGGGATGCCGTGCATGATCACGTGGTGCAGAAACAAGGGCTTGTTGTTCATTTTGATGGAGCCGGAGAGCAGGCCGCTGAAGTAATGCACGTACCTGTGCGGGGAGAGCGCAGCTTCAGGGAGGGGGCCTACCACAGAGTCATCACTGTTCTCTCTTTTGCAAGAACACTGCTCTAGGCCACCCACCTACTCTCCCAACCACACGTGCCCCTCTCTCAGGCCTCCAGGAAATTGAGGTCTCCACCCAAGCCTGGCCTCTCTGGCTGCTTGGAGCCTCAGGTAGGAAAAAGCGCAGGTATTGTGAGACTTGGAGCCCGGTCAAGCCCAACGTATTTGGAGTTTGCCATTGCCCCCTAGTGGTGAATATAAGCATCTCTCCCTGTCTTCCCTCCCAGCCCAGTAAACTCCCATTGAACCAAAATTGTTCCTCAAATCCTGATGGGCATCATTTAGCTGCTCATTACTACACAAGGTAGGCTGCCCAAGCAGCAAGCAGTAACCAGCTCTGACAGCCTCGCCCAGCCACACCAAACTTGTGCTTATACCAAGCCTCCTGTTACGGGCCTGATCTGCCCCACAGATCTACCAGCCATATCACAGTCCAGAAAACAAGAAGAGCTTAGTAATTACAGCTCTTTATGTCACAATAAAGTATATGGAGGACCTCTGGATCAATTACTCTCCTTTGTATTTGCAATAACTAACTTCCAATAAGAATCTATGACTATGGTCACCATCCTCCAATTCTGTTAGCAAAGATCTCACTGGAAGAATGGAACTCATCTCCCCTCCTTCTAGACAGACAGGAAAAATCAAGTCCAGAAAGGGTCACTGGACTCCCAAAGACACACAGCAAGAACACTCAGAGCTAGGGGTGGGAGGGAAAGGAGGAAAGTCTGGGCTTCAAGGCAACAGCCTGAACTGGACAGCGATCCTCTTGTCCTTGATTGGCCAGCACTTTCTCTTTTTCTGACAGGATGATAATGCCAAGCTGAGTCACACAGGCCAATCAAATGCATCCTGAGGCTCTAGGGAACCAATAGTTCTTTGAGGAGGGCGGGACCAAACTGTGTGACCAGGACAATGCTCGCCTCCTTTCTCTGGGTTCCTTGGCCCACCTCCAGGCCCGTGGGCCTCTGTCTCTGAGTCTGGGTGGGGCCGCTTCGGACTACCCAAGCAAGATAATCTGATGGGCAGCGCCAGCTCCTATTCAGGCCCCTGCCCAGCCCCCAGCCCCATTAGTCAAACCGGAAACCCAGCACAGCCGGTTCCCATCAGGTCTCCCAGCCATGCCAACAGGATGTGTCTGTGCTAGGGACAATGAGTCCGGGGGCGGGTGACAGTGAATGCGGGAGCTACAGACAAAAAGCCCCTTCCTCTCTCTCTCCCTGATGGCCTCTCTTCCAACTGCCCTACTCTATAAGCAACACAGACAAGAAGGCGGGAAAGTGGCAAAGGCGGCATAGGAAACTCACATGGGGCAGATAGGATGCCCCACCCTTAGCAGATGCAGCAGCAGATATGCGCTGCAGGCCGACACTGATAATGTACACACACACACACACCCCAACTGCGCGCTCTAATGCACACATGCGTACATGCGCAGCTCCGAGGCTCCACCTCGTCCTGAGAGGCACCGCTAGTGGGTCCCCGTTCTCCAAGTTTGGCTGTTCAGAGTCAGAGACGAGTCTGCTCCAACTCCAACCACACTGTACCATTGCAGCAGCTGCTTCTCTTTTAGTGTCCCTTATCCTTCAAGGTCAGGGCCACACTGTGATCAAAACCGGCAGCCCCGGGAAGCCAGGGACCAAGGAACAGACCCATTGTGCTTTTGTCCCTGGGAAGACTCACTCACTGATCAGCAGCCACTATGTCTGGGGCCTTGTTGGGATTTCCTGCATGTAAACCCATCCTGTCTCCAACAGCTGTCCCAGAATCTGGCTGTCAGCTGACTCGTGCCAACTATAGAAGATGCTGCGTTTCTGAGGACTCACTTCCGATTGAGCTTCCCACTATAATGGCAGAAACAGTCCCAGCTGTGCCTGTTCACTTCTAGCCAGCCAAGCAAGGCTGGGCTGAGGTGCACGTTAGTAAGAAGAGTGAGCAGGCCCTTTAGCAAAATGTTTTAAATTCTCCCAACAGAAGATGACCCTTATCACGGGTCTCTATAGCCTCCTAGGACAGGCAGCAGTGACATCAGCATCCTGTAGACTCATCCATGCTCTGCAGCAATCCTGCCGCCAAGGACAAAACTAGAATGTGCCTGCTCACACAAGCACCTCCCATACCCGCTGTCTGCTCTCGGGGAAGAGGCTTCAGGAGGCACCTGCAGTACCAACCTGTAGGCACACACAGGCTGGCCTGGGCTCACTCATGTTCCCAAACTGCATCCCTCCAGGCTGACACACATCCTGGGCACACTCCCACAGAGGCAGCCACACCATCCCTGCGGGCAGATGCCCTGGAGACCCACCTTCTCTGGGATGGCTGCCCAATGGGCACGATCTTGTCCTCATAGAATCGCTTCATTGCAAACCGGTCCAGAGCCTGGTCCGCACTGTGGGGAGAGACAGGTGGTCAGAGGAGCTGACCCCACATCCAAGTGCTCCTTGTTCCCCAGCCTGGCTCCCCTCAACCTGCAGAGCTCTCCAGCCAGCCCTGGTGCCTGGTGGGAGGACAAACTTCTTCCTCCAGCCATGCTATGCCGAGATGCATTCAGGAAATGTTCCAGCATCTCTCTATCCTGTGTGATCCATAACTCTTAGAATCAACTCCCAAGGTCCTTAGCATGGTCCACCAAGCCAGGGGGCTCCACCTTCCAGGTTCCCCTCTTCCTCCTCTTCCGGGGCCCCAACACATCAGCCCCTCCTGTCCCACTCCCCGCCTGGCTCCTTCCCTGAGTTCAGCCTTCAAGTTTCTCCCCCAGGTTTCACAGGACCTGGCTTTCAGCAGGTCCCTGCTCCAGCATTACCTCATCCTCCCTGAGCCAATGTCATCAAGTCCACAGACCTTCTCTGACCCCACCCCCCGCACACTATCTTTCTCTAGTCTCTAGTCTTTCACACTCACTATCACCAGGAATTACTGATGCATTTGCTTTCTTATTTAGTGTCCACAGGGCAAGGGCCTGGCACCGTGCAGTGCACAGAGGCTGTTCAGTAGTCATGGTGGAGCGAATAAATAAAGGAATGAATGAATCCTTGGGCCTCCCTGCAGAATGGGATCAGATCAAGAGCTGGCCACCAGTTATTTCCTATTTTACCCCTAGACAGTAAGAGAGCCCTGCTGTCTGGCAGCAGAGGGCCAGAAGAGATAACTTCACGATGGTTCCACCAGGCCTAGGCCTGATCCAACATTTCTTTCTGACTCCCGCTCTGCTTACCAGGGAAACAGAAGGCAGTGGGAAAAAGGCAGGTGGCCTGGGTGACTGGGTGAGGTGCTCAGGGTCACACCTGTCTTCCAAAGCTTCCCCCACTGAGCCCCACAGAGGGGACAAAGTCTCCTCTCTCCTCCTACAGGTTCCTGCCTCACAGCTATGGGCAGCTATTTCTACTGCCCTATGGCTCCTGCACCCCTTGTCACCTCTCATCCACTTTATCTGACCCTCCCACCCCAGGGGAGGCAGAGGCCACAGTGGAAGGAAGGAGGGGAGTCACACTATCAATGATCAGGGGACAGGAGGCTCAGAGCCTTCCTACCTGGCAGAAATGTTGCTGTAGTGCATGTAAGCCGCGATCACAACTCCTATCCTGCCTCGGTTTCCCTGAAAGAGGAAAACAACCTTTATTTCTAAGGCAGTCCCAAAGACCACAGAGAAGCCTAGGAGGGATGAGCACAGGGGCTGGAGAGTTGGGTGTGGCTCCTAGGAAGAGCAGAAGGAGGGGAGACACAGGCAGGAAGCAGGGAAGACCTGGGTCTCAAAACAAGCACAGCTGGTCATTCCCTTCTTGAGGATGCCCCTCAGACAGAATCTATTATCTCTCAGAATGGAGGAGATACACTTGCGGGCAAACAATCCAAAGACACAGGCAGGGACACACACTCCCACAGGGACACTGCAGCCCCGCTCTGACCTTATTGTGCAGGACCACAACGTTGTGAGGGTCCGCATTGAGCCAAGTGTCCATGGCCTTGCAGACACTGCAAATCTTCTCCAGGGCCGGGGTGTGCAGGTCGGGCCAGCCAAACTCCAGTACCTGCGGCCAGGTGAGAAGAGGAGGTCTGGGGAGTCAGCCAGCAGCCAAGGCAGCCCACACCAGCCACCAGCATGGGCAGACCCAGTGGCCAGACCTCAGGAATGCACTGCATAGAACGATGCTTTCTATAAATTGCATCACGGAATATCAGTGTAGGATCACTCACTTTCTAGGTATAAGATGCATCTGAACTCTGAACAGGCTGTTGAGACTGTCACAGGGCTATTCCCCAAGATCTCAATGCAGGAACCTCCAGAGAGGTGGCCCATCCTTTCTCTTTCAAGCAAGGAGACAAAACAGCTACCAGCTCACCTTGGTGTGGAGCTTCGTGATGTCAGGTCTCCGCTCAGACAGGTTGAACAGCTAGAAGGAGGCAAAGGAAAAGTCTGTGAGTATGGAGGGTGAGAGGGCTGGGGAGAACAGAGGCATGGCAAGGACTCCCGCTGGTCACACGGGACTGTTGGTGTCGTTTCCAGCTCCTCCACGGAGTCCACTGCACAGCCAGAGTGGTACTGACCTCTGATAGTCAGGGGCCCAGGCCACAGCTCCCTGGATCTCCTGCCCCACTTCTCCTTCTTCTCCTTCTCTTTCTCCTTCTTCCTCCTCCTCTTCCTCTTCCTTTTCCTCTTCCTCTTCTTCTTCCTCTCTCTCCCCCCCGCAATGGAAACACCATCCACCCACGAACACATACTGACCAACAGAAACAGTCATAGGCTGTCAGGAGCACGGTGGGCAGAGAACTATACACACAGCCCTGCTTCTAGTGGGTGCTCTTATGAACTGGGGGTGCAAGGGGGCTGGAGAAAGACCCAGAGGGGGCTTCAAAATCTCATCCCCGGACGGTACAGCTTCTCTGTCACCACACACCTTCACCGAGGGTGCAGTCACCCCTGGCAGGCCCTCTCAGGCCCCTGGCACATGGCTCCCAGCATGTGCCCATCCATACCAGGGACCTCCAGTCTCAGCCATTCCTCTCCCACCTCCAAAAGGATGTGCAGAACTGTCCACTTCCACCCACTGCCCGGGAAACTCGAAGACTACTGTGTAGTCTCCTGGAAGAAGAAAAGAGAGCCCAGCCTGGAACAGGCAGGATGCAGAGAGCTGTGACTGAGCAGAGACCCACAAAAATTTTGCAGTCCTGAACTCAGGAAGGATCTGGGCAGCTTCCAGTCCATGCCTGCACCCCAAAAGGACCACATCTTGTTGCATTAGCAATGGCTGCCTCTCAGCAAGGGTCCTACTTAGCCTGTGCTAAGGACTTTACATCTCACAGCTGGCTTAATTCTCTCCCCAGGTGTAAAGGAGTGTCATCCAGCCCATTCTGTAGTCAGGAAACTCAAGGCTTAGTGAGGCTAAGCAGCCAAGATCACAGTGTAAACACAGAGCTAGAATTTGAACCCATGACTTTCTCATATTTAAAGCAGGCTCTTCTCAATGTCCCCACACAACGGATGGGTTCTAGAGTGGACTGAAGTATCCCCCCAAACCCATAACCCCTCAGAACTTCAGAACATGATCTTATTGGGAAAGTCTCCGTAAGTAGTTAAGGATCTCAATATGAGATGATCTTGAATTTAAAGTAGGCCTTAAACCCAATAACGGACGTCCTTATCACATGAGGAGAGGCCACATAGGCAGATACCAGGCAAAAAAAAATACGAAAATGGGGGTTTGAAATCTGCAAACTAAAACTCTCACCCTCCAGCCTCACCCTGAGACCCCAAGTGCTCCTCAGGGAACAGGCGTGGACAGGAATTCACTGCATAGAACGATGCAGACTGTGGCGTGATATTGCTACCAGCCAAGGAGTACTGACAGGTTCTGGGAGCCACCAGAAGCTGGGAACAGAGAGGGAAGGATCTCCCATACAGGATTCAGAGGGAGCACAGCCCTGCCCACACCTTGACTTCAGGCTTCTAACCTCCAGAACTGGGAGATGATTAATTTCCATCTTTATGGGCCACACAGTTTGTGGTTGCCTGTCCCATGATGAACAACCCTGGGACACTTACACGGCCTTCCCTGTCCCACCTCTGCAACCCTGTGGGCAGCCCAAGGGTCCAGCCCACGTTCACCTCCCTGTAACATGGCCTGAGCCATCCTCTGTGCCCAGGGACAGGTCAGCCTTTCTGCTCTAGAGGAGGCCTCCACTGGCCACTGCACCCACATGTGTTGTGACTCCTCTCAGCCAGCCACAGGTCCCCAAAGACATATATGGCCATGATTTTTGCCTAAGACTTGTCAGAGGCACCAACACTGTACTAGCTCTGCCACCTCCAGACCCTGGGACCTCAGGCAAATCACCCTACCTCTCTGCTCTAGTAAGTGTCTGCTTTCCAGAGATTTCATGAAGGTCAAAGCAGTTAGAAGAGAGCCTAGTTCCCAGGAAGCCTCAGTGAACTCGTGTTGTTAGCCTTGCTCTTGCTACACACACACACACACACACACACACACACACACACACACAGCTCCAGATGCTGCACTTAGCTAGAGACATCCTCCTTAGAATCAGTTCGAGTGGACAGGAAGTGAAGACCCAGGCTACATGGGATGCCCAGGGTTAATCAAGGGAAAAGGGAAGCCTGGCCCCAGGCAGGTGCACAGTAACAGCAGCAGTGAAGAGCAGAGGGGCCTCCCTCACCAGGTAGTTGCCTCCATGTTTGGACTTGAGCATCTGGGCCACCTCACGGAGGTTGCTCTGGAAGTTCTCCTCCTTGGCTGTGCTGGGGAAGGACACGGCGATGATCCTCTCCGTGACATACACCAGGTCCAGCTCACAGCTGTCCTCCATGGTCCGGCTCACACTCATGCTTCTAGGGAGACAGTAGGCAGAGGGGATCCTGATCAGAACCCAGTGCCCTGGGCAAGCTCCAGATGTCTACCCCTTTAACACATCAGATGTGAACCCACGTTCAGCCCTGGAAGCTTGCCCCATGCCTCAGCCCAGAGCCATGGCCGGAGGCTCCCCCTGGCAAGATCTGTGCAGCCATCTGAGAGTGCCACACACGCAATGAGCTGGGCTGGGGCTGGCAAGCACCTCCGGCCACCTCAGAACCAAACAGCTTGAGGACATGGATTCCAGAGTTTCAGAACCAGGGCTTGCACAGCCAAGACCCCAGGAGCCCAGCCCTGCCTCTGGACACTGTGGCCTGGCCAGAGAGAAGTTTCCGAAGGACACAGGGACTGCTCCAAAAAGGAGGAGGAGCCCGGGCTCCCCCGTGTCTGAACGGAGACTTCAGCTGCCTCCCTGCTTGCCAGCTTTGAGGGGGTGGGAGGCCTCTCAGCAAGGGGACAGCTCAGGTGACACACTCACCTGGCCTCCAGGTAAGCCAGTCCACAGTGTACATTCCAGTCCTCCCGAGGCAGGCTGTCTCCTGCCCTTGGTCCCTGGCTCTCTCCCCACCTCTGGCTTCTCCCACTGCCCACCAGAGCTGCTTTGTGGCTGTGGCGTCCCCAATTCTGAGGGTCCAGGAAAAGTGAGGACACAGAGTCTTCGCTGCAGCTGTGGGAGGCAGTTCCTTGGAGGTGGGGACCACTGAGCTGGGCTCTGGGGGAGGGAGTGAGGTGCTCACATCTATACATGTCCTGACTTTTTCTCAGGTCCAGGATGCCTGCTAAGGAAGCTTGTGGGGCACCCCCACACCTGTCACCCCACCACCATCTCCCAGCCCCTGGCTTCCCTCTGTATTAGTGGTAGGCAACACTGATTCCATTTTGCTAGCCTTCCACCAGGGCAGGACAGAGCTGAGACTGGAGCGACGTCTGAAAGTGGTAGGGAGGGCAAGCCCAGGGGCAGCAACGGGCCTGGAAGAACCCAGATCTCTACCAGGACTGAGTGACACAGAGGACCAGAAGCCAGGGTTAAGGAGCCCATTAGGAGTCAGACCTTTGTGCCCTGGCCACTCCTTGTCCCTGTGATAAATGTGTCACAGCAGCCCTGGGGATGGGACTCTGTGCCTTCAGGCCACTGCCTACCCAAGGACAGCCCAGGACAAGAAGCCACACACATATGTAACCTCCAAAATGGGCATGAGGACAAGGAGACTGGCTAACTACATCAGTCTGGCCCCACTGTTCACAGCCCCTCTGTCCCGGCTCCAGAGAAAGGACTGCACTATCAGGAAAACTTGCAAGCCCAGCTCCTGTCTTTCCAGCCTCTCCCTCAGCTTGGCAAGAGAGTGAGAGGGGACATGGTGGTGACAGGCATGAGTCAGATGAGGCCAACCCTGGACACTCATCTGCCAGGTCCCCTAACTGCTTCCTATGGGATAATGTGAAAGCAGAACAGCGCCACTGGCTGGGAAGAACTGGCATTGCACTCCATATCCTCCTGCCCCAAGTCTTTCCAGCTGCAGGGAAAGGAAGGTCTTCTAAAGCTCCACCTCCAGCCATGGAGCTGGCAGCTGGGCCACAATAGCTAGGGACTTCAGCTGCCTGCTAGGGCCAGCATTCCCACTCATCTTGGGTCCTCAGGAGCTGGGGAATCCAAGGCAGAGAATCTGGACCCAGTTAAAACAGGCTGAATCGCAAAGCACAGGCCTCCAGGCACTCCCTCCCTACATGAAGGACCTCCTTTTGACAAACCCTCATATAAGACACTCTGCAAAGAATGAGATCTAGCACAGCCTTGGGGCCAGCCAGTCCCAAGTGCTGCCTCTGGGAGGCCGTGTGACCTTTGACATGCCGCCTCATCCCTCTGAAATTTGGGTCTTTATCTGCCAACATACCTTGCTGGGATGTTGCAAGGCCTAGATGAGCTCATGCAGGTAAATAAAGAATCCAGCTCAATGTCTGGTTTAGCACTGGAACTCAAAACATAACGGGTGTCAAGGACCATCTACCTGCACACTCTGTCACTGTGGCTTGATGGCTTTGGTTTTGGAGACCCAACGATGAGACTGGAGAAGAACACCCTCCCTGACCCCACTGCCTGGGCACCTCCACCCCATGAGCCTGTGGCCCGGACCTACCTGATGGGCTTTGGAAGTGGCTGGACACTTGGTGGGACTCTAGTGGCTCCCTGGGAAAGAGAAAAAAAGAGGTAGCATTACAGGGAATAGGCAGGAGGGCAGGAGGGCAGCAGCAAGAGCAGTCCACAAGGAACATCAGGGCCTCAGCCAAACACAAATCGTCTGCTTTCTCTGCCAGGCATTCCGGCCCTGCCACTCCAGCAACACAGCAACCCGAACCTAACGCAGTCAAGGCCAATTGCACGTGAACACACTTGCCCATGCACAGCCACCAAAGGGGTGGAAGGGAGAAATCGCCAATGCTGGGAAATGCACCCGCCCTAGGCTGGTGGCACCTGTCCTGAGGACACAGTTAACAGCCACTGAATCAACAAAAACATCTCCTCAGACTCACTGGACCGCCGCGGTGACAACCCCCAGTGGAGGTGACAAAGTACATCGGTAAGAGCAACAGGGAAGACGCGCGATGCATCCTTCCACCCAGAGCTTGGATCTGACTTCTCCAACAATGTCATCCCATGCTCCCCTCCCGCCTTGAAAGCAGCAACAGCGAGTCATTCAGTCAAGTGACTTGAGACAGCAGCCCAGCAGGTAGTGTCCTAGCGGCACTGAGCAGTGCTCCCGAGAATCCAGGTCTGCTGCCCTATCTCATCCACTCCCATCCTGGGCTTGTCGACTGTAGGCAAATGGACCACATCCCAAATGAGTGTCACAGCAATAAAAGCTCAGGGCCAGCGCCCCCCCAGGCCCTGGGCTCTGGGTCCCAGCATCCTGCTGAGCCACATGTAAAATGGGACAACCTTGAGGCTTGCATGGGGATGCAAAGAAATCATCACGCAAGGAGTTTTGCTTAATGCCTGGCATTTAATAAGTGACAACTGGTAGTTTCGCTGTTGCTATTATCGCAAGTACAACTAAAAGAGAAGTAACTGAGAGGATGGTTACAGCCATGCACCCTACAGAGCGTCACAACCTGCATCCCCTCTACCCCCAGCGGCTGCCCATCCTTTCAGCTACCTCACAAGATACAAAATCAGTATTCCTGGTATCTAGATTCCCCAGTCTGTCCTCTGAGCCCATCGACGCCTGCCAGAAACCCGGCTACCTCAACAGCCAAGTTACAGCCACCTCTTGGAAGAGGCAGGACCAAAACCCACCAAGGAGAGAACACACTGAGGCACAGGTGACTCACCCCCAAATCCCTGGGAAGCTGACGACCAAGCAGGACTCGCACTCCAACCTGAGGCTTGACCACGGGCCTGAAGCACAGGAGCTCCCTACTACAGTGCGTAAGGGGCAGGGATGGGCAGCCAAGCCCAAAATCAAGGCAGCTGGCCAAGGAGACAGCTCTCCATGCAACACCCTGGGCGGGCGGGCGGGCGGGCCTCAGAAGACTGTGACCAGTGTCCCTGCCTGGGCTACTCCAGCTCCAAACAGCTCAGCAGTGGCCTCAGTGCAAGGTGGCAAGAGCCAAGTGGGCCTGTCGGATGGAACCCTTCTCAGTCTCGGCAGCTCTGCTGGCCCAGGGACTTGCATTCACATGAGTCAGACCAGGAAGGGGGGAAGGAGGGGTAGTGTTCGGTTTGCAAGTCCCCAACCAGGCTGTTCCAAAACTACCCACCCAGAGGAACGCAGAAACCCAACACTTCATCCATCTCACTTCGCCAGTCCCTGACGAGGAGTCCCTGACTCTCCCCAGGCCTTGGGCCCTGATCCAGGCCCAGGGCCACCCTGCTATAAATAGCCCCTTGGGTTTCATCTGCTGCTGATCCACAGCCACTTTTGGAGGAAGCCACCACAGCTGCTTCGAACAACTGGAAGCCACAACTTAGCCAATGCTTGAGGTGGAGCCAACAACATGGATCCAGGCACAGGGAACTGGAGGGACACATTGAGGTGGATTGAGATGGCCCTGGCCAGGGTGCTGGGGTGCCCAGGGGAGCTGGGAGCCTCAGACACAGAGGTAGGACAAGGAGGGCCAGAGACCTGGCTCCCATTCCTCACCGCCTTCTTCCAAACGTTACGACACTCCACATTCCTCAGCCTCCCCACCCCAAAAGAGCCAGGGCAGATAAATACAAACTTGGCCCAAACAAAGTCTGGCCAGGCCGCCCCCAGAAGTGATAAGGCAAAGTCCAAGCCTGCTCTGCTCCACCAGGCAGCCTGTGGGGAAGGGAGGCAGGGGAGGAAGTGCCCCGGACAGTGACCCTGCAACAAAGGACAGGGACGAACAGCTGGACTGTCATCCCCTAATGAATCACTGGGCTGCCCTGGAACTGATGGGCTTCCTGTTTTCTGCAGAACTGGGGGGCATGTGACCTCTCACTGGCAGGGAACAGACACGCGTGGGAGACACTGTGTGTTGGCACACTCAGGCACACAGGGAGATCGGCCCAGCAAATGGGCTGGGGCAGTGGGCACTGTGGGTGAAAATGCACCCTAATGTTCCAGAACACCCAGCCGACCTCAGGGCTAGATGTGGTGCAGGCCTGATCACAGAGGCCTTGGATGAGAGGCTTGGGCTGAGTGGAGGCCACCGGTGATCTCTGCGTCTGATCTTGGTGAGCATTCCCTCAAGGGGTAAACATTCACAGAGCCCTAGCTGAGTGCCAGGCCAAGCACTAGGCACCAGGGAGTGCCGGGGGGGGGGGGGGCAGGGACAGAAAGGCCCTGACCAGAGAGAGCTGACACTCAACAGAGAAGCTACTCATTAACAGGGCCAGGTTGAGAAAGAGCCATGCAGCCTCATTTATCCATCTGTAAAATGGGTACAGCACATTGCAGGCAGCACCTCCTACCCACTCCACTCGGAGACCCTGGGGAGCACTTTACTGACTTGATTTTAAAAATAAAAATAAGCTCTTTGCCTGCCTGTAATTCTACGCTTTTCCTCTCTGGGGATTTCAAAGCCTTTAACCCATGGGGCTTTGAACTTCCTCCTAGCTCCTCCCAAGTCACAGACCAAAATAGAAGTTTTGATCCAACTCCCCAGGCACCAAACAGAACTCTCCCATCCTCATCTCCAAACACAGGCGCCTTCACTGTGAAAAGAGACTCCACAGCTTTTCCCACTGTCAGGAAGTTCCTCCTGGTATCTAACCCTCATCCTTCCTGCTGCAGACAGCTGATTTTTTAGGTGGGCGCTGATCATCACTCAGACCCTCCCGCCGGGGCTCAAGATCTGCCACCCAAGCTCCGTTATATTTACTGCCTTCTTCCTCTCTGGGCTTCGAGAGCAGGAAGCTCAGGCCTTGGGTGGAGTTGATTGGAAGCAACACCCCTGTGGGAAGAGCCCTGCCTTCCTTTGAGGTCCGCAGACCAAACACATCTCTGGACCCAAAGAAAAGCTGTTTCCTGAGCCCGAGTCCCCAGGGGGCACAGTTGGGAGGAGGCCGTGACAGGCAGCCAAGATGGCGGCCGGCCGCTCAGGGGCCCATCCCCATTCCTGTGTCCTCTGGGGGCTGCGGCCCCGCCCCTTCCCCTGGCCTTCCTGCCCACCAGCCTGGATTTTTCCAAAACAAAGTGAAGTGCGACAGAGCACACCGTCCATAAACTCCATTCCACACCACCTCGCTCAGAGGGAAACAGTCTTCCTGCGCGGTGCGTCCTGGGCCTTGGGCCAGAGGCAGGAAAGCAGCTCAACAAACAGCACATCATCCCACCAGCAAGCTGGGCCGCAAGCACGCTGCCTGGAGAACGGGCTCCCCTTCCCAGGGTGGACTGCAGGACAGCATGGCAGCTGGCCAGGGACTGACCCGGTGGCCCCTGGAACAGGTGGCTGGGAGCTGGACACAGTGGCGCATGCTCGTAACCCCAGCTGCTACTCTGGAGGCTGAGGCAGAAGGATCTCGAGTGGGAGCCCAGCCTGGGCAACTTAGGTTGGGGATGTAACTCAGTAAGAAAGCCCTCAGTTCAATCCCCACTACAATGATATAAATAAATAAATAAAAATTTTAAAGGGTTGAGGCACAGTTCAGTGATAAAGTTCTTGCCTAGCATGAGTAGGCGTTTTGCTGGGGTTCGATCCCCAGCGCGCACACGTGCATGCGCCCACACTCACACTCGTACACACTGGGTTTCCTCACCTCCCCTAGAGTATGGAGGGCAGTCTAGAATCTGCTCACCTCACACCGTCCACACACACCTTTAGTGGGCTAACCAGCCTCATCATGTCCCTCTTCCCCTTCCCAGGCAAGACACTACCATGAGCAAACACAAATGGGCAGACCCATTCATCCAGACCAGCGAAACTTTGTAAGGCCGTATGGGTGGTGGCCCATGTCTATGATCCCAACACTCTGGGAGGCTGAGGCAGAAGGATCCCCATTCAAACTCAGCCTGGACAACTTAGCAACTCAGCCTGGTTTCAAAATAAAAAAATAAAAAGGGCTAAGGATGTAGCTCAATCCCCAACACACACACACACACACACACACACACACACACACACACTCTCTCTCCTCAATCCCAGCTAACTGACCACCCTTTTCTTCTGTAGGACCAAGATCGTACACACCCTTATCAGCAACAATTCTTCATGATGTCTTAACTCATTCTCCCTTGCTGTAGCTTTATTTCCTAGGCTCCATGCAGCCAAGGCTGGTAATGCAGGGAGCTGTAGGATGTGGTTTCTCAATGTGCCTAGGGCACTAACTACTGCCCAGTTCCTTGGTAAAGGGCCAGGGGCCCTGGATGACACCAGATCCAAGCAGCGTTCCACAAAGGGAAGGAGTGGCAGTCATGGAGCCACTCGAGCCTCTGTTTCCTCATCTATCAGTGGAGTTTCAGCATGTGCCATGCAGGAGCATCATGAGGCTCTAAAACAGCCCCCTCCTAGCCCTTAATCAAAACCACAGAAATTAATTTATTGAGCACATACTGTAGGTTTTGGCTTTGAGTACTTTAATCTAGTTCATCCTCAGTGGGAGGTACACACAACAAAACACCACCAACCTGAACAGGGGTTCTCCCCAGTACACGTGTCCGTGCCCAGGGGAACACAGCCTTGCTCGCCAGCTTGAGAGGCATCCTCCCTGCTCCTCCTGGAGGCACCGTGCAGCCCTGACAGCTCTGCTCCATAGCGCGGGTGTGCAGAGCGCCCAGGATGCGGTGCAGCGTGTGGTTGCCTACAGGAGCTACCTCCCTGCTCCCAGCACCTCCCCGGGGCCCTCCCCACCATGGGTCAGGCAGCTGTCAGATGATAGGGCCTCATGCCATCAACAGCTCCCCCTGTGCCAACCGCCAAAACCACTCCCTGTTCCTCCACAGACCAGCAGGCAAGGCAGAGAGGCCAGCGCAGCACATGGGTGTGCGTGTGTGTGTGTGTGTGTGTGTGTGTGTGTGTGTGTGAAGAAAGAGCCACTTTTGTGGGATCTCCTGCATGGTGTAGGAACAAACAAGCCACTCGAAGACCTGACTTGGAGCAAGGGCTCCATGCCCTTCCCTGGGTCCCTTCCACTGAAGGCACTTGCCACCCCCAAAATGGAAGGCAGGAGGGGCCCGAGGATAGGCCAGTCCCTCTCCCAGCATCTTCCAGAATCAGTGGCAAAATACGGGATTTTGCCATTTCCAAAGGCTCCTGTTTCCCGAGAAGCAACCCCATCCCCTACAACACCCCAAGAGCCCAGGGCCCTCTTCCTCTGGCCCCATACCTCTTTGTCCATCTCCTTTACCCCTTCCAAGAGCACCAGGCTCCCAGACGCGCCCTCCCGGGAGCTGTCACGGAATGGTGAGCTCCAGATGCAGCCTAGATGCAGCCCAAGGCCAAGGCCCAGCTGCGAGGCAATGGGCTGCTCATGGCCTGCCCTTCGAGAAAGCACGCAAGGGAGGCCCACAAGACAGGACAGGGCCCCCCTCCCGGCCATTCCTCCTAGACCAGGGGCCCAGCTCTTCCCTCCAGCACTTACGTCCTCCTCCAGGCTTTTCCTTGAGTTTCCACCCCGGGAGGTTCCTTCTCCCTGAAGACAGAAGCGGGGGGGTTAGACAGTCAAGCAGTGCTCCTCCACCTGCTGGTACATCAGAGCAGAGGCGAGGGCGCTGGCAGAGGGGCCAGGGAATTTCTGTTGGACTTTTCTCTGTCCAATAGGAGACCCTCAGAGGCAGCCAAGCCCTCTCATTTGTGTCTCATGATCGCTGCTATGGGAGATATTTATTCCCGTTTTGCAGATGAGTAAATTCAGGCACAGACAGGCTCGCGCCTTGCCTACAGCTACACAGTTAGAACCTTATGGGCTGGGGATGTACCTCTGTGACAGAGGGTGGGCCTAGCATGTCTTCCATCTCCTACATGAATGAAAAGGAAAAGGTGGAAGAGGAAGAGAGGGGGAAGAGGAGGAGGAGAAAGAGAAGGATGAGAAACATCCAGGCACGTGTCTATGCTCTTTGAATTCTCAGAGACTGAAACAGGAGGATCCCTATTACAAATACAGCCTAGGCCACGCAGCAGCATGGCAAGACGCCGTCTCAACAAATAACTAAATAAATAAGTTAAGACCTGTGGATGTGGGCTTGGGTTCAATCTTCAGTACCACAAAAAATAAAAATATTAGAGCCTCCACGGAGTTGGGATTTGAACATAAGTCCTCCAACCCCAAGCCCATGACTTCATGCTGGCCGCTGGCAAGAGACACCCCCTCCGCAGCTAACCTCAGTTTCCCCACCGCAGAAACTCTCCCACATCCTCCCCTTCCTCTCCCCCACACCTTGAGGAAACTGTCTCTCTGCTAAGTCAGGCCTTTTTGGAAAGATCTGCCCAGCTTTCTCGCGTTCTATGTATTTAATAAAGAAGACCACATTGAACCGCCCGCCCCTCCCTCCACCTGCCTCGCTCCCAGGCGCCCATATCTGAGCACACGGCGATGTCAGATGCCCAGCTCGCTCCCAAGGACACCAGCACCTTCCGACTTCCCCCAAGCTCCCTAAAGCCAGAAGGACACCCCCAACTACCCCTGCTTGCTTTCCCACAAGCCCACCCTCTACCGCCCAGCCTTCCTGCTTCCCCCCAGACTTCCCTGCCCCACCCGCCTGCCCGAAGTCACTCACCAGGTCCACTACATTCTTTGGCGTCCCCTCAGCAGTGATGGGCTGCAGACAAAAGTGGAAAGCAGTGAGGCCTCAGGACAGTGTCCCCGGGGTGGGTGGCAGGGACAGACAGGATGACACCAACCCAAGACTCAGACCTAACCTGGCTGGCCCTGAACTTGAGAGGCAGAGAACTGAAAATGAAACAGGACCTTGTTAGTACTAGAACCACCCTTTTCTGCAAACTTACACTGAGGACTTAAAATGGAACAAGAAACGACGCATGAGGTGCTGTTGTTCTCATGGGCTGGGCGTTTTCACCAATACTCTCTACTTATTCACGTCAAGAATCCAGGGAGGTGGAGAACATTACGGTCTTTTAACGTCACTTCAGAGACAAGAAGTTAAGTGAGTGACCCAAAAGCACCGATTCTAACAGGGACGACAGGATGTGAATTCACCTTGGGGCTCCTACTTTGTGTCTTTGCATGAAGTCACAGCAGCGGGTAGAAGCCTGCCCCATCCTACTGCTTCAGGCTTCCTAGGTCTCCACCCTCCGTCCTCACAGACCTCAGTCTTCATACACAAAACTGCACAACACCACCGCATCAGACCTGGCTGTACACCGCCCTTGCTTAATGGCACAACCAGGCCTTGCCCCATGGATTGGCTTCCCTTCATGCCAAGGTGGAGAGCTCCCTCCTCCATGAAGCCCTCCCTGACCACCACACCAAGCAGGGATCTGAGATCTAGTCAGTCTCTCCATCTGCCCATTATCTCCGCATATAAAGGATCTCACTGTGGGAATATATGTCTCATTTCCCTGCAATTCTGTTACTTGTGATTCTCACTCAACCTACATCTGAAATAGATTCAAAGCAACATTTTTACAAATTCAACCAAAAGCTCCCTCCTGCCAGGGCCTATGACTAATGTGTAGCAGGGCATCAGTAACCCCTGGAAACAGATCACCCTGGAGCTGGCCTTCCCCTGCCCAAAACAATGGGAGGCTCTCTACAAAAGGATTCTGAAAAGTGGCCTCCTCAGGCCCCCAGAGTAGGAAGAGAAACTTTCAGTCCCAGATCTACCTCCTGACCACAGCTTTCAGCTCAGCCACGGGATTCTGGGCCCTTGCCTCAGAAGAAAGGATGCCAGAAGCTGGGAATGGTGGCGCATGCCTATAATCCCAGCACTCGGGAGGCTGAGGCAAGTGGATCGCTGTGAGTTCGAGACCAGCCTGGACTACATAGTGACTTCCAAGTCAGACTCAACTACATAGTGAGACCCTGTCTCAAAAAAACCAAAATAAATAAATAATTAATTAGTTAAAATTTAAAATAAAAGGAAAGGATGCCAGCACCCTTGGGACAGATGAGATGAGCCTTTTCGAGGATGCTCCCAGACGGAGTTGAAGACAGGTGTCTTGGAACAGGAAATGCCTGGCCCAACCCATGGCAGGACCTGAGGGGCGGACAACTTTCCATGGAGACGGGGATGGACAGAATGACCACCAATGGTATGGGCATCAGGGAGAAGCAGTAGAGAGATGGGATGGGGAAATTGGGCTGCACTCAGTGTAACAGTGGTCCTCCCAGAAACGACCCCTCCTGCCTGGAGACCAGACTGAGGCCAAAACTTCCCTGTAAGAGCTGAGACTTGCTGAGCAGTTTGGGGCAGAGCCAACCTGGGTGCTGGAGGGAGATCGGGGTCCTGGCACACAGCAGAAGCAGGAACACAGCAACCTACCCCCCACCCCACCCCAGGGAGACCCTCATCGCTTCACCTGGATGTTGGGTATGGCTCTGAGGATTAGTAAAGATGTCACCTTTGCCTCTCCCAGCTCAGCCCTAACCCTAAGCCCCCAGGCATTTTCCTCTCAGAATTCTCTCCTGGGCCATGGGCCACTGGATAGGGAACACTTGAGCCTTTGGGAAACCCCCAGTCCCCCTGCCCTTGACTGAGCACTAAGCCCTCAGCTCTCCCGACTCAGTCACTCCCTCTGCCTCCTGTAATGTGACCCAACTCAAAAGGGACCTAGGCCTGGGCATGGGAGCCCTCCATGGCGGTGTTGGCCCATCAAATCTCACGGCCTCCAGCCCTCCCCTTCTTGACCAGGGCTGTCATACTGGCCTGGGACCTCCACCTCACATGGAGATGGTCCCTCTGGCTCTTTCCTAAGCAGCTCTGGTCCCCCAGGGCAGACAGACGGGGACCTCTGGAAAGCCACCCCCGAACCAGAGATATGAACCCAGAGCTCCCAACTCTACAGCCCTCTCCGACCACATGGCCACCCAACCTCCCTAAAATGGACAGAAATGGGAGAGATGGGGTCATCTACGTGGCTACCCCAGCCCCTGAAGAGCTTCTTCACGTCCTCTCCAGGGAAAGTGCCTCATCGGGCCAGCTTCCAGCACAGTGGACATATGATGTCCAGGCCCTGACCTGAAACCTCTGAGTCAGTGACATCCATGCAGGGACCCAGGAATGTGCAGGAATCACTGGCCTGCAGACCACCTGGGGTTACATCTGGGCTCCCTGCTGCTGACTGGTGACCCTCAGCAGTTCCCAGTGTCCCACCAGGATGACCTAGGGTGACTTTGTGGCCACAAATGAAACACAGAACCTGAGGCCCTTACAGGAGTACCTGGCAGGAGGACGCTCTGGGTCCACGTTGACTTTTACTATTATTCGTTATCCCAAACTTGGGGCATCCCACACCCACTCAGGGCCTACCCTGCCTCTCCCTGCCCCGCCCCAGCCCACCACTCCCGGGCCTGGCATGGGGTAGACAATGCAGTGGGGTTGATATTAGAAACCACAGGCCTCAGCAGAGCAGCAGAACCATCCTCTTCCTGCCCATGATCATCTGAGTGCCATCCTCTTTGCCCCCGCCCCTTCCCCTTGCCAGCTGGAGACTGGCCACAGGGCAGCACTTGCCAGGGATCAGATGCTTTGAACTTACTGCTCTACATGCTTTCTGAAGAGCTAAAAATTTCCAGAAACCCCTCCCATCCTAACACCCCAAGCTATCCTGCCATGTTTGCAAATCCAGCCTGGCGTGCATGCTACACCCCACCCCAATTCTCCTAGGACTGAAGTCCTGCTTCTCTGTTTCCTGACTGCTGCCAACCCAAGGACTACTGGAAATGAGAAGTGTGGGACTGCAGCAGAACCATCCTCTTCCTGCCCATGATCATCTGAGTGCCATCCTCTTTGCCCCCGCCCCTTCCCCTTGCCAGCTGGAGACTGGCCACAGGGCAGCACTTGCCAGGGATCAGATGCTTTGAACTTACTGCTCTACATGCTTTCTGAAGAGCTAAAAATTTCCAGAAACCCCTCCCATCCTAACACCCCAAGCTATCCTGCCATGTTTGCAAATCCAGCCTGGCGTGCATGCTACACCCCACCCCAATTCTCCTAGGACTGAAGTCCTGCTTCTCTGTTTCCTGACTGCTGCCAACCCAAGGACTACTGGAAATGAGAAGTGTTTGGAGGTGGGGGGATCCCCCAGGCTGCCCCAGCCCAGGCTCTACAGGAAGTCTGAGGCCAGAGAAAAGCTCTGGGCCACCCAGGGCTGTGGTTCCCCTGAACCACAGTGACCCCTGGGTCCTGACTGCCATCCTACCTTTATCTGCAAGACCCCACACAGATACACACAGTGCCCTACCTCACACACACACTTTTTACCCTCTTTCTGATTTATTTTTGTCCTGAGAACACATGGCTTTCCAACATACTACATATTGTACTTACTCATCTTGTTTAGAGTCTGTCTGTTGCACTAAAATATAAACTCCTCTTTCCCCATCCCAGAGCCTAAAAATGTGCCTGGCATACTGTGGGCCTCAGTAAATATCTGTGGAGTGAATCCACTACCACTCACTGCCTTTTCTGATACCCAACCCTGCAGAACATTCATTGACAATGCAGCTGACACCCCAGGTTTCCTAGATCTGAAGGTCTTTGACCTCTGCCTTTGCTTAGATTTGGGCCAGAACTTCTCTTACTCCCCCCACAACACACACACACACACACACACACACACACACACACACACACACACACACACTTGCACTCAACACCCTCTCGTAACACTCAGAACCTGAGCCTTTTGAGGGCCTGAGGCATCATCTCCTCCTTCCTCTCTCATGATGAGGTTTAGGGTAGGGCTGGGGTTGGCTCCCAGGGGTGCAAAGCCCACAGCCACACTCTTCACACTGCCCCTCACCCTGGGTCCCCAGCCAGGGCTAGCAAGTACCTCAAAGTCAGTGGCGGAGGGTGAGGGGGATGGAGCCCAAAGAAAGGTCCCCTCCCTGTCCATTCCTAAGACCAAACCTGCCATGTAAGGACCCCAGGCTTTGCCAGCCCTACCACGGTCTTCCACAATCCCCTCTGCCCTTCTAGAAGGGCCCCTCGGAATCCAGCTTAAGGAGCAGATGACAGGGGTTAGACCTAATGCTACTTAAAAGCTAAGCCCTCTAGGTGCAGTGCCACATACCTGAAACCTGAGCAACTCAAGAGAAGGATTGCAAGTTTGGGGCCGAACTGAGCAACTTAGCAAGACCCTGTCTCAAATTTTAAAAAAGGTCTGGAGATATAGCTCTATGGTAGAGCTCTTGCCCAGCATGCTCCAGCCCCTGGGTTCCACCCCCAGCACCCTAGTGCCCTTTGGGGATTGCTCTGCACTAGGGCCTCAAAGCCAGGAGTGTGGAGCAAGGTGGAACTAGGGTGAGAGGCTTAGGCATGATGGATCCTGACAGATTCTGTGAGTGCACGTGCCCAGGCCAAGAGTGATGCCCCTCGAATCTTGCAGAGGCACTACTTGCTTCCACTGCTCTTGACCCTGATATGGAGGTGCTAAAGCTATAACTATTCATGAAGCACTAAAGACATCCTGGACAGAATATCAGGCACTTTGCTTTCCTGACCACCAATCCTCATGACCACCAAGGAAGCTGAGAGTCTGAGTCAATAACTTGCCCAAGAGAGTTTGCCCCTTCCACCTCCCTCCTGCTCTCTCTTTCTCCTCTGCCCCCGCCCTCTCTCTGATCCCTGAGACCATC